AGTATGTAAAGATGATTTCACATGACCTATGCAACATATCACACTCAATACATGTGTGTCTCTGGGGGGTGCATTGTGCCTTTGATGTATATAAATAATATACCATAACCAAATACTATTACGTACAGTGGAAATCAGGTTGCCAGAGCAGGTCAGTGCATGTTCCTCAACGTCTCAGCAGTTACAGGTGAGGTAAAGAAAATAAAAGAAAAAAAGGTCAGTAACAACACTTTAAAGTAACAACACTTTGAATAATGATCTCTTCTAACAATTTTCTCTCAATAAGCACACAACGACTGTCTTTCCAACAAACAGATTGTCATCACAATGAAACACGTCCAGAAGAATGTCATGCAAAGCTCCATGCCTGCCTTCGACTCTCCCTGAACTGCTTCCTTAGCACCCGGTGGAGGGCGCAGTAGGCTACTCTTCAAAAGTTTCACGAAATACTTACCATCATGTTTGGTTACTGTTTAACATTTTGGTTTACTTCATGTAATAAAATAATAACTTCATGGTAAGGCTACTAAAAATGACAAGGCTAAGTAATGTAATGCTAACTAACGTGCTCGCTACTCGTCGCTACTAGCTAGGTAGCTAACTTGACTATGTTCCATGCACAACATGTATATGACCTATGATATTACCTGATATGTCTGATCCAGCGACTCCTGGTCCTTTCATCAGACAGGAATCGATAGAAGGAGCAAGTGGTATGATCACTTTTATGACTACAACCTGGTACAAAGCACACAGGCATCTTGTAAAAGTGAATTTATTTTTAGCGATCTATCATTTATTGGAGGGAATAAATCAGTTATGAGATCTTCTTCTTCTTCGCTTTAATTACGAGTCTTATTATAAATCACCGAGCATGCCTGTGACATCACTTACGCGACCCAGAATGGGATTTGGGATTTGTAGTCTTTGTAGTAGCGTATTTTTCATAGTATTATATTTCAGCAGTTTTATGACAAAATGTGACTTTTTTGACATGGAAATGATTGTTTAAGATTGACAAACATCATATGTGTAGTTCGTGGCACAATTCAAACGGGATCAAAAGATACGTGTTCTCTCTCCATTGAATTCAATGTAAATTTTTCGCTTCCGGGGTCCCATGGTCCGGAAGTAGATGGGCGTGACTTCGCCTCTCCATAAACTCCTGAAGAACCAGGTTCAATTAACTGCTGTTTCAATTCAGACAACTCTCTTAAATCTGTTTAAGCGATCCCAAAGGATTTTGATATCAGTAAATGAGGTGTGGCCCTACCGAAGTGTGAGTGTGGCAGGGTGCAGTCTTACCTTTGAAGCAGGAGAGGAGAGCGCAGAAGTCTTTTAAGTTGTTCCAATCCAAAAGGTGGGATCAGTTTATTTTAAGAAAAATAGGTCCAAACTTATACAGGGTTTTTACCTTCTCTCGTTACAACATTATAATCATACTAAACCTATCATGCTGTGATCATGTTCTAATATGAAACTTTAATTCGCAGTTTTACATTTATTAGGCCTACATTAAATTGTAACTTCAACTGCCCAATTCAATTGTGATTTTTTAAATATTCCGATAGAATTTAAAGGCATTTCCTCATTAATGACCAGTGAACATTTAAACTTTCATTCACCAAATTAATTCAAATCAATTCCATACCTATGTTTTCCGACAGGTGGCGGGAATAACATTCAAAAACCCACACCTATCCGCATGAATTCGGAGGAAGATTCCTCACAGCTGTCGGGCCTAATCTTCACAAACACATCAAATATCAAATCATTCCACTAATTTCACAAATAAATTCACTCATTCAACCAAGACATTTTAGAGATATTTACCAAGTCTGAGAGAACCTTACCGAGAGCTAAAACCCAGCTCTCCGGGGTGAGAGCTTTACCTGGAGAGAGTATACCAGGGGAACCCCCCCCCCCTCTCTCTCGTTTGCTCCCTCTCCGCCAGTGTCTTTATGCTCAACAACAGGATAGAAAAACCTAAAAACACCTCCTCCATACCCATATTTGTGGAAGCTGGGCATAGCCTCTGATGTACTAGACTGGACATGACCAGACATATTCTATGGCTATGGCATAAGACACACCTTCCCATGTTTGTGTAAAAAGGACATGACCCCTACTCTGCAGTGCTTGCAAAATATTATTCTCGGCTATGACATAACCACCTTTTTGGGGCCTCAGTGTATTTCTCCTTAAGTCAGGAGCCCCCTTCCCTGTGTACTGCTGTGAGGGAAGAGGGAAGAAACTGTCTCTCCCTTATCAGTGAAACTCATAAACCATTATAGGCCTTACACTCTCAATTTAACAAACCACTTGTGTTTTGTTTATACTGTAAATATAGAAAATCATAAAATATGAAGCATTTTCATCGTGGGTTATACAAGAATATTCATCCATCCATCCATCCATCTTCTCCCGCTTATCCGTGGTCGGGTCGCGGGGGTAGCAGTTCCAGCAGAGAGCCCCAAACTTTATTTTCCCTGGCGACATCAACCAGCTCTGACTGGGGGATCCCAAGGCGCTCCCAGGCCAGCGAAGAGATATAATCCCTCCACCTGGTCCTAGGTCTACCCCTTGGTCTCTTCCCAGCTGGATGTGCCTGGAACACCTCCCTAGGGAGGCGCCCATGTGGCATCCTAACTAGGTGCCCGAACCACCTCAACTGGTTCCTTTCGACGCGAAGGAGGAGCGGCTCAACTCCGAGTCCCTCCCTGATGACCGAACTTTTCACCTTATCCCTAACGGCCCTGTCACACTGTCCCGAAATTGACTCCCGATGGACACACGAATATGGAATTGTGAATTTCGCACGAAGATGGCCCCGAACCACACACGAAGGCAACATTTACATTACATTTAAGACATACAACTGCAATGAAAGTACCAAAAACAATTATGTTACAGTACTATGATACTGTACTGATATCTTCAGACTTTGTTCTTTACTTTATCCGTCGTTATATGAAGAAAATATTACGTTTTCTCCGTAATGTTGTTTCCATAACAACAACAACTTCCTGTCAACTGTCCTTCAAAATAATATATTATATCCTTTTTAGTTTCACAGAACACAAATTGGGTTATTTACATAATATATTTACATGATTTTGTTGTGCAATAAAACAACCCGATGGATACACGATAAAGGAAATGTTCAAATTCGGCTGTGATCGTAGCAGCATCGGGCCATTCGTGAGGGCATCTTAAGCCTTCGTATGACCGCCAGTGGAGTTTCTCAGGCTCCGGCAGCAACTTCGTGAGCGGTGGCAAAATCTTTGGCATGCCAAAAGATAGCCGAAGGACCTTGCGAAGGTTCATTTTCGTGTTGAATTCGTGTGTCAATTTTGTCCTTCGTAAGGCCATCGTGAGGGCATCTTGTTATCATCGGTGCCATCGGGCATTCGCCCCGATCAGAGTGAGGGCGAACGCCCGATGGCACTGATGATAACACGAAGATGACACGATTTGACAAGATGCCCTCACGAGTGCCTTACGAAGTTGCCGCTCACGAAGTTGCTGCCGGAGCCTGAGAAACTCCACCGGCGGTCATACGATGGCTTAAGATGCCCTCACGAATGGCCCGATGTTGCTACGATCACAGCCGAATTTGAACATTTCCTTTATCGTGTGTCCATCGGGTGTCAATTTCGGGACAGTGTGACAGGGCCTTAAGGGAGACACCAGCCACCCTGCGGAGAAAACCCATCTCGGCCACTTGTATCCGCAATCTCGTTATTTCGGTCATGACCCATCCTTTATGACCATAGGTGAGGGTAGGAACGAAAATGGCCCGGTAGACAGAGAGCTTTGCCTTCTGGCTCAGCTCCCTTTTCGTCACAACGGTGCGGTAAAGCGACTGCAGTACCGCTCCCGCTGCTCCGATTCTCCGGCCCATCTCACGCTCCATTGTTCCCTCACTCGAGAACACGACCCTGAGATACTTGAACTCCTTCACTTGGGGTAAGGACTCATTCCCTACTTGGAGTGGATAGTCCATCGGTTTCCTGCTGAGAACCATGGCCTCAGATTTGGAGGTGCTGATCCTCATCCCAGCCGCTTCACACTCGGTTGCGAACCGATCCAGTGAGTGCTGAAGGTCGCAGACCGATGAAGCCATTAGAACCACATCATCTGCAAAAAGCGGTGGTGTAATCCTTGGTCCACCGAACTGCAAACCCCCTCCCCCATGACTACGCCTCGAAATCCGAGCCATGTATATTACAAACAGGATTGGTGACAAAGCGCAGCCCTGGCGGAGGCCAACCCTCACCGGAAATGGGTCCGAATTAATGCCGAGGACCCGGACACAGCTCTCGCTTTGGGAGTACAGAGATTGGATGGCCCTGAGTAGAAACCCCCTCACCCCATACTCCCGCAGCACCTCCCACATTAACTCCCTGGGAACTCAGTCATACGCCTTCTCCAAGTCTACAAAACACATGTAGACTGGATAAGCGTACTCCCAGGCCCCCTCCAGGATCCTTGCGAGAGTAAAAAGTTGATCCGTCGTTCCACGACCAGGACGGAATCCGCATTGTTCCTCCTCAATCTGAGGTTCGACAATCGGCCTGACCCTCCTTTCGAGTACCTTAGAGTACACTTTCCCGGGGAGGCTGAGTAGTGTGATGCCTCTGTAATTGGCACACACCCTCTGATCCCCCTTTTTAAAAGGGGAACCACCACCCCGGTCTGCCACTCCTTCGGTACTGTTTCCGACTTCCACGCAACGTTGATGAGAAGTGTCAACCATGACAACCAAGAATATAATTGACTATATTTGATTATAACTAACTGTCGTTTTAATTATTCAACCTAATATGAAGATCTCAACACAAGTGAAATCAAAGAGCCAATTAGTGTAGGCAGCTGCCGTCTGATATCAAGGATATGGAATAAATACTCAAATTGCTTGTCATATTCAACTCAAAACTCCTACTCCTTAACAGACGTTTAAATCAGGTTCTGAAGTCTGTGTTGTTTCTTCTCAACAGGTTGGAGAAATGGCCTCAGATCTCATGACCGTTGCTGCTCTGGGACGACCTTTCACCCTAGGGATGCTCTATGATGCCCGGAAAGATGAACTGGTCCCAGGTAAGACTTCACATTGTCACAAAACTTTCATCATAGTCACCGTACAACAACAATTCACCAGGCCTAACATTACTTTGTAAGTTATCTTTTGATTGTCATGGTAAATTGAGTGTGTTACGAGAGTTGTTTCTTTGTCTCTTTGTCGAGCATCTGTGTATATCGGGATATATTTTCACTTCTTCTGTCCGTTGATTGAATTTTCTATGCATTTTAATCTTAATTATGTGCCTTTAACTGTTGCCTGCCCAATAATGGTTTCTGGCTAAGTTTAGTACAAAAGAGGATAAGGGCAAAATGGGAACCGTTTTAAACATCGGACCAAATGTGATTTTTTTTCGTTTTACTGAGAATAAAGTCAGAATTCTGAGAAAAAAAAATCTAATTTCTGATATTAAACTCAGAATTCAGAATTTAAAGAATTCTAGTGACACAGAAGCGGGTAAGGGACACATGTGAATTTTTTTTTGGACCCGACCAAAACTTTATATTTTTGGGGTTTCTGAGATTAAGGTCAGAATCCTGAGAAAAAGTATAAATTCCATCCATCCATCCATCTTCTTCCGCTTATCCGTGGTCGGGTCGCGGGGGGGGTAGCAGTTCCAGCAGAGAGCCCCAAACTTTCTTTTTCCCTGGCGACATCAACCAGCTCTGACTGGGGGATCCCAAGGCGCTCCCAGGCCAGCGAAGATATATAATCCCTCCACCTGGTCCTAGGTCTACCCCTTGGGTCTCTTCCCAGCTGGACGTGCCTGGAACACCTCCCTAGGGAGGCGCCCAGGTGGCATCCTAACTAGGTGCCCGAACCACCTCAAACTGGCTCCTTTCGACGCGAAGGAGGAGCGGCTCAACTCCGAGTCCCTCCCTGATGACCGAACTTCTCACCTTATCCCTAAGGGAGACACCAGCCACCCTGCGGAGAAAACCCATCTCGGCCGCTTGTATCCGCGATCTCGTTCTTTCGGTCATGACCCATCCTTCATGACCATAGGTGAGGGTAGGAACGAAAATGGCCCGGTAGACAGAGAGCTTTGCCTTCTGGCTCAGCTCCCTTTTCGTCACAACGGTGCGGTAAAGCGACTGCAGTACCGCTCCCGCTGCTCCGATTCTCCGGCCATCTCACGCTCCATTGTTCCCTCACTCGAGTATAAATTCAAATTTTAAAATCTGAATTCTGAGAAAAAAGACAGTATTGGAAGACAAACTTAGAATTTTGAGATCTCCCAACAATGGTAATGTTTAGGTGGATTAAGGAACTTCCCCTGGATTCTATTGGCTCTAACGGTTACAAAGAGGTGTCAATCACCCAAATCGACCAATGGGTTCCATACAGTAGATAAGGCAAATGTACCCAGAGGTGTTTTATTTTTGCTAAATCTCTCTAAAAAGGTCAAATCTCACTTGTTTTGCATCAATCTTGATACAGGGTACTTATTATATGTTATAGTTTGGATTCCTAAATCTTTTTGTCTCCTATCCCATCATTCAAGGGTGGGTTTCACTATAAGTAATGGGTTTTTAGACATAAACTATAATTTACATTTTTTTTACCATGTTCAATCTGAATTACTTAAAATAAAAACATCCATATGACTCTGACACTTCTACAGCCAACTCACAGCTGTATCATTGCTTTTAGAAAAAAGATTATTAATGTAACCCTTTTAGAAGGGAAGATATGGCCATTTGTTTCTGGGAATGTCATTTTCGAGCCTAAAACCTGAAAAACCAACACACTCTCACTCCCTAAGCGTCCAGGAGCGACGTTTGGTCAGTGTCCGTGGCGTCCAGTTGTGACGCTCCTCGGCTCCTTCAGCGTCATAAAGGGAGGCAAATAGCTTTCAAATGATTGCAATGTATTCCCATCTGCGGCGGGATTTGACGCTCATGGAAGCACGGCATTCGTTTGTGTCGGCTGCCCTTAAAGGCAATGTGAGCGTCCATTCCCATTGGATAACGGAGAATTGTACACCCGGAAGTAAGTATTCCCCTTACTGTCGATTGATTTTACAGTGATATCTGCACTACTCATCGACTAAAAAACACCAGATTATCCTTGATAATTACACAACATTGATTGGTTTAAATTGTGTGCAATGCTTTTGTATTTTTCCCCTTCGATTCGGAGAAACAAATATTTTTTCGGAGTAAAGGATGGCAGAAGACACTACACTACCCAGAATCCCCAGCTATCGTTTGGACTACACCATGTGCTCTGTTTGACAAACCCCGTTTTTTTCACCATTCATTCCAATGGCTGGCGTCTATGTCACGTGATCTTCACATTTCTCCCTGCAGAAAAAGAAAACATGGCCGAACTTCGTTTTATTCTCGGTGGAAAATGCCAATTTTAAAGTTAGTTTGGCCATTAAAATGCGTTTTGATATCATTTGATGCGAGAAATATGAGTTGTTATTTCAGATTATGTGTGCAGTGGATGTCCATGATCTTTAGTTTGCTAGTTATTACGAAGATTACTTCAGGAAATCGCGACGTTTTCATTGTTACCAAGGTGGTTGCTAGGGACGCTGTTATCGATATTATTTCTGTTATGTTGTGTAACTGTTTAATGGTGTTATCTTTATTGCTACCCCCTTCCCCGTCAATGTATAGTGTTGGTTCACAGCGCAAACATATTAGTTTAACAAAATCCCTATCTAAAGATACGTTATTTTCCCCTGTGCAATTGCAGTCTCACATCTCACAGCACATCGTCATTAACAAATAACGGAAACAGACCGAAAACTTTTTTAAAAATAAAATAATACTTTATTCCGAGTGTGCTTGCTTTTCTCTTTGGAAGTCATCACATAACGGCATTGTAATACACGGTTCGGCTGCATTAAATATTACATATCTGCCGTAGTTCTGTATTTATAGAGCCCTGATGAGAAGACTTCTAGACAAACATGAGGAACTGAAAACGTGACGTGGATCATAAATATATCAGCCATTAAACAACATCTTACATTTATTTTCACACAATACGTCTCCTTGCAGTATCAACACTAATTCGGCTGACTTTTATATTTGATCCAATTGGTAGATAGGCTGTATTTACACCATAAAGGTGCCACACCTGATATAAAGGGACACCTAGTGGTTAAAGCATGTTATTGAATTCATTATTTTTATTATTAGATATTAATAGGATCCCTATAAAGTATATTCATTACTCGTTATTCTCTACTAATAGTTCATTAAAGACTGTATATAATGACTATTTTGCACATCCCTTTCAAGATGTTCTAAGGTTTATTGACATATCATATAGGCCTACACAACTATGGTGTAGTTCTGCATTGAATGAAAAACTTGGGTCGCAGGTTCCTCAATAGTGCATTACACGACATCTATCAATATTTGTGCATACCTCCAGCAATGTTAACTATGTTGAAGCACTTATTTTAACTGATATTATACATAATGTATTATACTCTTATAAGATGTATGTAGATATTTCATCTCCGGCCTTGTCAGGTATTGAACAATCAATAAATAAAGAACACAGAATTGTTAAATATAAAACACAGAATTTGTGTGATTATACTAAATGATTTACAAATAAACACCACTGCATATTTAACTGTTACACATGCTGATGTAACGCAAATGTTCCAACTTGGGATCAATAAAGTATATCTTATCTTAAGCTGATCGATGGCTACTGCCATATTTGCAAAATGTGTCTCTGAACCTTGACAAGTGCATGTTTCAGGCTTATCAATTAATGTAATGTTATCAATTAACAACAGGGGTCACAAACATAAGACCAGCTGTTAAATAAAGCTCTTCTGACCTTAGCTGGCATGTGTGTATATATATATATATATTAATGTTGCCCATTATAGGCACAAGCAATTTTCACCCATTTATTAATTATATGTTTTAAATGTGAGTGTTTCCTATCCCCTAAACCTCCAGGGATGTACACAGTTTAATACTGGCAACTTCTTATTATGGGAAATACGAAAACGTCTTTTAAAACTACAACTCCCAGTAGAGACGTGCCATAGATAGAGAACATGTTGCGAAACAGAATAGCCAGCATGTGTAGTTCTGGGGACGGGGTGGGGGAGGGGGGGACGCGGTGGACCCGTTCAAATCCAGTTTTGGACAGTCTGCCGTGGTTCCATCCCATTTCAAGTGCTGTTCGAGAATCGGTGTAACCTTCGGAGCACACTCTCCAATCACAGAGCTTGAGGACTATCACGGGGTTTATCAAACAGAGCACATGGTGTAGTCCAAACGATAGCTGGGGATTCTGGGTAGTGTAGTGTCTTCTGCCATCCTTTACTCAGAAAAAACATTTGTTTCTCCGAATCGAAGGGGAAAAATACAAAAGCATTGCACACAATTTAAACCAATCAATGTTGTGTAATTAACAAGGATAATCTGGTGTTTTTTAGTCGATGAGTAGTGCAGATATCACTGTAAAATCAATCGACAGTAAGAGGAATACTTACTTCCGGGTGTACAATTCTCCGTTATCCAATGGGAATGGACGCTCACATTGCCTTTAAGGGCAGCCGACACAAACGAATGCCGTGCTTCCATGAGCGTCAAATCCCGCCGCAGATGGGAATACATTGCAATCAGTTGAAAGCTATTTGCGTCCCTTTATGACGCTGAAGGAGCCTAGGAGCGTCACAACTGGACGCCACGGGACACTGACCAAACGTCGCTCCTGGACGCTTAGGGAGTGAGAGTGTGTTGGAAAAACAGGCTCAGGGCTTAACAGGTTAATATATGCATGGTCCATTGCCCCTTCCCCACACACACGTTAGGTCCTGCTCTGAATCACACACACACACACACACACACACACACACACACACACACACACACACACACACATACACACACACACACACACACACACACACACACACACACACACACACACACACACTTTTCTTATGGAAACTCCTGGCAGGATATGAAGCTGCAACCTGCAAAACTTTGAAATGATAAGTGTTATGTGAATTTATATAAACAAAAGTTTTGCCCTGAACTGATCCAAAAACTGTTTGCTTGCCAATTTGTTCAGGTCTCAGATTGTGGAATGAGGAAACTCTAAACGTAAAAACAACTGAAACCCCTCAGCACAGCAGTTATTTTGAAATGTCTGCATCTGACTCCATCGAATCCAAGTCCACCATGATGGACATTGATGCTTCTCTGAAGGCCAGTTTCATGAGTGGACTGATAGAAGTTGGAGGATCTGCCAAATATCTGAATGATGAGAAGAAATTCAAGAATCAGAGCAGAGTGACGTTTCAGTACAAAGCTACCACCAACTTCCAACAGTTGTCAGTGACTCAACTCAAAGCGATGAGCCAAGAACAAAGAGATCTCATCAAGAATGGCTTGGCGACTCATGTAGTCACAGGCATCCTGTATGGGGCAAATGCCTTCTTCGTGTTTGACAGTGAGAAGTTAGAAGACAGACAAGTCCAGGACATCCAGGGCAGCATGCACGCTGTGATAAAGAAGATTCCTTCTTTAAATATTGAGGGAAATGTTAAACTCAAGCTGACTGATGAAGAGAAAGCCCTGACTGAGAAATTCTCCTGCAAATTCTACGGAGACTTAATTCTTGAAAGCAACCCAGCAACATTTGAAGATGCAGTGCAGACCTATGTAGAACTTCCACAGCTTCTGGGAACAAAGGGAGAGAAAGCTGTGCCAGTGAAGGTCTGGCTGATGCCACTGAAACTGTTTGAACCTGCAGCTACTGGGGTGAGGACAGATATCAGCATTGAGTTAGTGAGGAAGGCGCAGGAAGCTCTGGAGAAGTTAAGGGAGGCAAAAATGAGATGCAACGATTCTCTGGAAGACAAAGTGGTAGAGAGTTTCCCCGTGCTTCAGGAAGAGTTGAGCACTTTCCTCAAACTGTGTGGTTATTATAAAACCAACATCCAGCAAGCCATGGCAGAGAAACTTCCCTCCATCCGTGAAGGAAAGGAAGAGGAGAGCTCACTGGAAAAAGTCTTTGAAGACAGGCACAAGTCACCCTTCAACCATGAAAAACGAAACAAGTGGCTGGATCACAAAGAGAGAGAAGTCAACATCATCAAGTCCTTTGTCGACACCATGGAGGGAGTAAAGATCGTCCTGAACCAGAAGGAGCTGGACAGAGAGGTCCTTGCTTCAGGTGTAGAAGATGTTCTGTGCTTTGTTTTCACCTCCATGCTAAAGGGTGATATCTACCTTGATGAGATGGCTGACTTCTTGAAATCACCCAAGTTAGGAAGTACCGATGAAGAGGAGTGGTACTACTCCGATGAAGTTCTGAACACAATGAGAGAAAAAGCCACATTTCTCCAGGGTGCTTCCAAAGGGCTGAAGAACAACAGCAAATTCCGTTTCCTCATAACGACCAAAACCAATCCCAAATACAAAGGAGCAAGCATCTACCACTACAAGAAAGGCCAGCTGGTCACTGAAGACTTTCAAAAGCCTTCTTCTGTGGAGACCATCAAACACAAGAGAGATCTGATCTGGTGTAAGTCAAGCTTTTTTTGAGTCAAAGATATGAGTTCTCCAGCAGTTTGACCATCAAAGTTACTGATAAGATACTTTGTTATGTTTTCTCCATCAGATGCCTGTGATCTCCACCTGGACCCAAACACTGCCAACAACCTTCTCACTCTGTCTCACGGAAACAAAAAGGCAACACATGGAGCATCGCAGAATGTTCCTCCTCATCCAGAGAGGTTCGGAAAATGGCAACAGGTGTTGTACAAAGAGGAGTTATCTGGGTGCCATTACTGGGAGGTAGAGTGGAGCACCAGTGACAGGGAGACTGTTTATGCTGCTGTTTCATACAAGGGAGCTGACAGACATAGCTCAGATGTGAGCGGGTTCGGCTATAATTCAGAATCCTGGTGCTTCGGCAAAGATGTGGGAGAATCACAATACTCTCTTGAGGCATTCCATGCCAACAAGAGGGTGTGGAAAGTACCTTATGCCTCTGATGGCTTCAGGATTATCGGGGTGTATCTGGACTGGCCTGCTGGCACTTTGTCCTTCTACAGAGTCTCCTCTAACACACTGACTCACCTGTACACCTTTCACACCACATTCACTGAGTCTCTTCTCCCAGGCCTCTGCGTTGATAGAAATTCCAGCTATGCCTACCTGTGTCCAGTTGAATTGTAAATGATCTGGATTTTTTCAGCGCTTTTCCAGTCTTTACGACCCATCAAAGCGCTTTTACATTGGCAGCCATTCACACACATTCATAGAGGCAGAGGCTGTCACACACCTGCTCATAGCCTAACGTTCACACACATCTACACACATCCCAATATAACTTAAACCTGCTACTCAAAATCAAAAATGCATTCAAAGAGGGACAGGGGAATGTTTTATTATTGCTTTCAACAATTGAGCTTGTATGATTGAGTATTCTGGGGAGTGGTCTTCACTGTACTCTGGTTAGAGTTCCCATTCATTAACATTGTGTGCAGTTATTGTCTGGTGTGAAGCGGGTACACCTGTTGAACACCTGAGAGGTCAACATGTCCCAACTCCTCCCACTAAGGCAATGATGAAGAACTCTTAGCTTCTTGGTCGCTCTAAAGTTTGAAATGGCAACCTCACATCCCATTCTAACTTTAACGTGCTCCACAGAATCAAACATTCATTCAAACCCAGAGGGACCAGAACAAACGAGGATATCAAAAAGTGACTTTTGTTTATCAGTAAATGTTGATTTCATCATCTTCTCAAACTGTTCAAAGTCGATGCTTTACGAACAGTTCAACAATATTTCTTCATAGGAACTTTCTATCGTAGTAACATATACTCAAGCATTATATATCCGGCAATCGCTCTGTCAAAACTGATGTTGAAATACAATATAAACATAATGGGGAACAATATTTTCTTATTCTGTTGAATTGATGCTCATTATTTTAGGACTTAAGGTACTTCAAGAGCCGATTGCTTTTGCTTTGGCTTTTTTTTAAAGCGAGTTATATTTAGAGAACACAAGAGGAGTCTTTTCTCTCATGAAACCGGTGTGGGTGGGTTTCTCGGTTGAGGTCAAGATTAGACATGCTTTATCAACATTAGAATGATGACATATGAAATCATAGTTTAAGTCAAAGACAAAGAATATCTGTTTTGTTAAATGTATCATTTTGATTATGTTGGGAATATCCTATCGCTTATTTCAGCATTTGTTTATTTCCTTCTTTGTGCAGAACTCACAGCTCATGAAGAAAAATGCAGAACTTGTTTTGTTTGAGAGATTCACTGTTAACACCATGTAGTTGGAAATATTGCTGATGGTTATAAAGATGAAGCAATATCAGATTCCTGTAACCCCTAGTTTCCACCGGGTCCGTCTGCGGCGCGTTACGGCCGCGTTGCGGCTGCGGCGCGGCGTCCGCAAGGATCGCGGCCACTCTAGTCAATGGGTGCTATTCCACCAGACGCGCCGCGTTACGGCTCAGAAGCGTCCCAGAAGCGTCTCGCCGCTGGGCTCCGCTCAAAATAGGATTGAAGTCTATTTTTCGACGCGACGCAGCCGTAAGGTAATTTCGGGCAGGCAGGAAGTGGAACGTTCAGAGCATATATAGCATATATATATATATATATATATATATATATACACACCAGAGGTTGCGCTAGACTTTTTCGCTGCCCGTCATTTTGACGGACAGGATCGTAAAATTTCCGTCAAAATCCATTATTACCCGTCGGTCTGTACACAACTGACGGGGGGGCGGAAGAGCACGCTCGTGAACTGTCAAGGGGGGGGATTAACGCCGGTATTATGCCGTGTTGATGCCAATTATTATTATGCCGTGTTGTGCCGTGTTGTTGATCAACAATAACAGATAGCGAATGTCGTCGTTAAGGTGCTTTTTTTCGAGGTCGAAGTTAACCTTAAATGTTTCCATCTTAAGCTTTGTTAGTTAGTTAGTTAGTTAGTTAGTTTCGTGACGGACGTAATGTAACAGTTGTAACGGTTCTCAGACGCGGAGGGATACTGATTTGTGAAAAGTAACAACAACTATTCCCTGGATAGACGCTCATTGTATCACGGCTAAGAAACATCAGATTGCTTGATTTGACTTGTACGTTTCATAAACATATACTAACTGTGCTTAACCCCCCCCCCCCAAAAAAGTTGTAAATCAAACAAGTGCAGTACATGCTATGTTATAAAGCCGTGGAGGGCGGGAGTTTATAAACCAAAGAGTAACCGCCCTTAAGGGACGCTGTAATAAGTAAAGCGAACGCACCCGCAAGGACACCTGTAAGTAAGGGGGTATACTACGAAGCCGGATTTTCGCTTAGCGGCTAAATTCAGGGAAAACTCCGGCTTTCCGGTCCTCCGAAGCTGGTTCTCTTTTTAGCAGGCTAGATCTCCATGGTAATATATGCTAAGCGGCTAACCTGGTCGGGACCAGGTTAGGTTGCAGGCTAAGAGCTCAACTCAGTGAAAGCACCGCCTGCTGATCAATCAGAGCTCAGTGTGCGGAGTTTAAAGCGATCAAGTCATATTACAGGAGAAAGGAAATACAGAAAAGCTGCCGTCGCAGGAAAGACGGCCGGCAACAATCAGCGACTGTGTGAACGTGAACATTAATAGAATATCAGCTCCATCTTCAGAGCAATCTGACTATTATAACATTAGCGTTAAGAAAGCTTACTGAAATATCTGCCACAACATAAGTAACCGGATCAGAGTCACATTAAGTACAGTCCATATCACTTCATAATGTATCATATATCTCCTGATCTGAGTCAGCTGAGCCGTATCTGGCCGTGCAACACTCACAGCGTCACAGACTGTATGCAGAAGTATTATTTTACGCAACACATTAAGTTGAGAAAACACTCGAGACAAATGTAATTAAAGTCAGATGGTGTTTTAGACGGGACAGTGATATCATAAACCTGTTAATGTACGCATTCAAACACTTTTTCTTTTGCCAGTTGTATTCACCTTGCAGGTGCAGCTCTGTGGCTTTGATCCTGGATAAAGTGTTTAAGTCATGGATGTTTAAAGTTTAACTTCTTCATTTTTGACTAGTATTAAAGTTCACTTTTCATTCAGCAAGTATGACGCTGCGCTGTCAGTACGCTTCTCCATGTTTGTGATTGGTCGAATGCTCCAGATACCACCCCTTTCATGTGAACGCGCACCTAGCTAGATAGGACACGGCTGGCTTGAGCGATCCACTTGATAACCAGCGTCGTAGGGTATGACGCCAGAGGAGGCCGGACCAAAACCGCGGCGCAGCCGTTACGCGACGCAGACGGACCCGGTGGAAAGTAGGGGTAACACTTCAACATCTGGATATGTTCACTCTGTGCTTTAATAAAGAGACCTGACTTTACACTGAGGGCCAGTTGTTGTTATTTATTGTAAGAAAGTGTTTTATATTATGTTATAGTTTTAATTATGTTGTTTTGTGAAATCTAGATTAATATTAAACTCCCAAGGTTCTTTGACTGCAACACTTTCCCCACAGATACATCTTTTATGGAAAGTTGCAAAGAGGTTTTCTTGGTCAACAATATTATTATTCTTGGTACATTTTATAAACACTAATCTATGCATGAAAGTGAATCTTAGGTTCTATATATATATCATAAGTATTTCCTTATCAAGAAGACCCTCCCCCTCATGTACAAGATGCACCTGGATTCCAAGGAGACGCTTTGCACCTGGATTCCAAGGAGACGCTTTGCACCTGGATTCCAAGGACATGGGGAGGGAGTTTTGGCATCTCATTGGACTGCCTGAGGGTTAGGGTGTGTCATGGGAATTATGATTATCAGATAATTGAATGCTTTGATGTTATTTAACATTCCAAGGAAATGGGGAGGGAGTGTTGGCATCTCATTGGACTGCCTGAGGGTTAATAATAATAATAATAATAATAATAACTTCATTTGTATAGCACCTTTCATACAGGGGATTGCAGTTCAAAGTGCTTTACATCAGTAAGAAATAAGACATACAATCAGTGTAAAACAAGCAGCAAGAGCAAAGCATAAAGTGGGATCAAATACTGAAACATAAAAACATGGGGAATAAAACATAGAGAAATAGTGCTATGTCAATCACAGAGAATCGTGCAGTATAATAGTGTAAAGCCAAAATGCTTTGGTAAAGAGATCGGTTTTAAGCTGCCTTTTAAAAATGCCTAACGTATTGGGTTCCCTAATATTGTTGGGTAACGTGTTCCACAGTTTGGGAGCGTAGTTTACAAAGGCTGCATCACCGATCTTCTTAGGACTCTTTCTGGTGACCTCTAATAGACCTGCATCTGATGATCGCAGTGTTCTGGCGGGTGTGTAGTTCATCAGAGAGTCAGCAATGTAGCTGGGTCCTTGTCCATTTAGAGCTTTGTATGTGAGGAGAAGCACCTTCAAATCAATTCTGAAAGTTACAGGAAGCCAGTGTAGAGTAGCTAAGACAGGACTAACGTGTTCCCTCCTTTTGGTATTCGTCAGTAGGCTAGCTGCAGAGTTTTGAATGAGCTGGAGTCTTCCAATAGCTTTCTTGGGGAGACCAGTGAATAGTGCATTGCAGTCGGCTAGATATAAAAGCATGAATTAGCTTCTCCGCATCATTTTGATTTATGAATGGTCGTACCTTCGGGTTAGGGTGTGTCATGGGAATTATGATTATCAGAGAATGCTTTGATGTTATTTAACATGTAAATAATGATACTCTGTAAGCCTTACACGTCAAGAGACGTAGATCT